AATGGATTAACAACCTAAATGTGAGACCTGAAACCATAAAAAGCCTAGAAGAGAACACAGGCAGTAATCTCTTTGACATTGGCCACAGCAACTTTTTTCTAGATATGTGTCCAGAGGCAAAGGAAAGAAAAGCAAAAATCAACTATTGGGACTTCATCAAAATAAATAGCTTCTGGGGTGCCTGAGGCTCAGTCAGTTAAGTGTCCGACCTCAGCTCAGGTCATGATCTCATGATTCATGAGTTCAAGCTCCGCGTCGGGCTCTGTGCTGACAGCTGAGAGCCTGAAGCCTGCCTTGGATTCTGTGCGTGTGTAGCTCTCTGCTCCTCCCCCACTCACGCTATGTTTCCCTGTCAAAAATAAATAAACATTTATAAATAAATAAATAAATACATAAATAAAGCTTCTGCACAGTGAAGGCAACAATCAAAAAACTAAAAGGCAACCTATGGAATGGGAGAAGATATTTGCAAATGACCTATCAGATAAAGGGTTTGAATCCAAAATATATAAAGAACTTATCAAACTCAACACTCAAAAAACAAATAATCTGATTAAAAATGGGCAGAAGACATGAACAGACATTTCTCCAAAGAAGACATCCAAATGGCCAACAGACACATGAAAAGATACTTATCATCAGGGAAATGCGAATCAAAACCACAATGAGGTATCACCTCACACCTGTCAGAATGATTAGAAACAACAACACAAGAAACAACAGGTATTAGTAAGGATGTGGAGAAAAAGGAACCCTAGTGCACTGTTGGTGGGAATGCACAGTGGAGCAGCCACTTTGAAAAACAATGTGGAGGTTCCCTTAAAAAAAATTAAAAATAGAACGATTCTAGGGGCGCCTGGGTGGCTCAGTCGGCTGAGTATCTGATTTCAGCTCAGGTAATGATTTCACCATTCGTGGGTTCCAGCCCTGCGTCAGACTCTGTGCTGACAGCTTGGAACCTGGAGTCTGCTTCAGATTCTCTCTCTCTCTCTCTCTCTCTGCCCTTCCCCTGTTCATTCTCTGTATCTCCCTGTCTCCATCTCTCTAAAACTGAATAAAACGTTTAAAAATTTTTTAAAAAACCAAGAACTACTCAGCCATCAAAAATAATGAAATCTTGCCATTTGCAATGACATGGATGGAGCTAGAGAGTGTATTTCTAAGTGAAATAAGTCTGTCAGAGAAAGACAAATACCATGATTTCACTCATAAGTGGAATTTAAGGAACAAAACAAAGAAGCAAAGGAAAAAGAGAAAGAAATAAACCAAGAAACAGACTCTCACTATAGTGATCAAACTGGTGGTTACCAGAGGGGAGGGGGGTGGGGAGATGGGTGAAATAGGCGATGGGGATTAAGGGGTGCACTTGGCATGATGAGCAGTGGGTACTGTATGGAATTGTTGAATCACTAATATCGTATCCCTGAAACTAATACAACACTGTATGTTAACGAACTGGAATTAAAACAAAAACTAAAAGAAATAATAATAAGAAAAGGAACAGGGTGAAGAGGGTGAGGAGAAAGAGATGGGAACCTGGAAAAGGTGGGCAGGGGTCTTGGCAGAGAAAGGACAGAGGTGGAGACCCAGGGAGGGGCTGCTGTGCAAAATGTCCCCAGCTTCAGTCTTTCCATTTGTTAAATAGTGATTTTAATGCTCTCTTCTCAGGATTCGAGTGGGAAACTGCTTGGATCCGTTTTCCCCAAGATGGCTCTTGCAAGATGATTTTGCTTGAGCAGTGTTCATGTTCACTTTTTTTTTTTTTATGCACAAATGCATTAGAAAAAAAATGAACAGGACTCCAGACTCATCCTCTAACATATATATATTGCTTAGGGTAAAGCTACTTTTGTTTAAATGTGAGTTGATTTATAACACAGATGGTATGTGGACAGCCAGGTTTCTGAAGGTAACATGGGAGTGAGTGAAGGTGAGAAATAACAGAGTTAGAGGACTTTAGCAGAGCATCTAGCACAATGCCTGGCACAGAATAAATAGTCAACGGAGGGATGGTAGCAGTTCTTGTTGTGGCTGTTGTGATTACAATGACTTCTAAGGCTGGGGCTGCTGGTGGGGAAGTGTGGGGTGCTGGTGCCTGGCTCCCAAGCGTGCAGCTGCAGCTGCAGCTGAGTTTTGCCTTTTTCGTTTTGGTGACAAGCTGGGCTGGGGCGACTGTGGGAGAAATGGCTGAAGCGGGGAGGGGCGTTCAAGGGTATCAGTTTGGGAGGGTTCTTGGGGGAGGGTGAGTGGGCCTCCCCATGCCTCCACCCCTGCCCTTCATCATCCTTGGCTTATACTGACTGAAGTCTGGACAAAGGACCCTGGGTGGGGAGCTCTGATTACCGCTAGAGAACAGACTGGCTCAGCCAAGGGGCTTAGAGGAGAAGACTCCAGTTCCAAGTCCCTGGCTTTTAAGGAACTGACAATTTGCGGGGCTCATTAGGAATTCCAGCAGTGTCTTATACATGACTCCAAACCCCTGCTAAGAGCACTAATGGGGTTGCAAAGCCAGACCTGTTGGGTTGGGGTAAATCACCAAAGCCCTCTGAATTTCCACCTTTAAAATTAAGAGAATTAAAAAAAAAAAATTAAATTAAATAAATTAAATTAAATTAAATTAAGAGAATTTGTCCATGCCATAAAGGCAAAAGACTTAAAAACAAGTAAATCACTTTTGACAAGTTTTTTTTTTTTTTTTCTTTTTAAGAGCTAGTGAAACTTTAAGAGGATTATTTTACGCCATAAACCTTCAGGGGCTTCTTAGCACTCATTGAAGACAAAATTCCTAACAAGCCATCCTGAACTACAAATTGCATAACCTCTTTTTTCTACCTGTAAAATGCAGATATGTTATCAGTACCTATTCAACAAGATGGTCGAGAGTTAAGACATTTGGAACTGTGTCTGGACATAGCTGGTGCTGAGTGTGAGCTGTTCTTAGAAACACAAACCTATCTCTCCCACCTCAGGGCCTTTGCACATGCTATATTCTTTATTCAGAACACTGGGTCCCAATCTTTTTACTTAGTTTCCTTCCACCTTTCAATATCAGTTCACCAGGGACTTCCTTATGGAAGGCTGTCCTGATATCCTGAGTCCTCCCATAGATTGATCAGTCCCGTCAATCTATGTTTTAACTAAACTCTTTCCCTCGTGGCATTTATCACAGTTGTGCATTATGTGCCTTATTCTTTTGATGAATAACATCAATGTCCCCACTGGACTGTAAGGCTAGAGTCATGGGCTGAATTGTGTCCCCCAGATTCATATGCTAAAGTACTAATCCCCAATACCTCAAGTTGTATTTGGAGATGGGGCCTTTAACGTGGTGATTAGATTAAACTGGGGTCACCAGGCCCTCATCTAATCTGACTGGTGTTCTTATAAGAAGAGGATATTAGAACATAGACACATACAAAAGAGGGAGGAACATGTGAGGACATAGGAGAGGATGGCCATACAGCCAAGGAGAGAAGTCTCAGAATTAAATTAACCCCACTGACACCTTGAACTTGGACTTCCAGCCTCCAGAACTGTGGAAATAAATTTCTGTTGTTAAAGCCACACAGTCTGTGGTACTTGTTATGAAAGCCCAAACAGACTCACATAGGTATCAACTGAGTTGGATTTTGCTTCTTTTTGTATTCCCAGAGCCCAGCACTGAGCAGGTGCTCCATAAATATTGACTGGTGGGTGAATGGAGGTGCTGGGGGTCAGGCAAACAGCACTAAAGATCACTTTGAGCTTTTATCTGCTTTGCTGCACATGGCTGGTCTCAGCTGCCCAGAACCACCTCTTTCTGTTTCTGGGCCTGGGACATGGCTTTGGGTCTTTATGTCTTTCCTGGGCACAATGTAATACACTAGCACTTGGGGGATGATGTGTTGGTCTGTGGAGGCAGATTGTGGCTTGGGGGAGTTGTTTCTTTAAAATAATTTTTTCATTAAAATAGTTAACACAGACTCACTGAGAAAGCCAGGAAAATAAAGAAACACACAGAAAGGAAAGAACTGTCGTCCACTATTTTCAATCCCCAGGAATATTGCTCTTAGCACAAGTATTTCCTTTCAGGCATTTTTCCATAGTTTTCCCTTTCCCTTTCAAAGTTTTGGTTCTCCACTATACATATACTGTTTTTATTCTGATTTAAAATTAATTTAGCTCAAGTTTTCCCCAAGGCATATTTTTTAAAGCCTCAATATTTATTGAGTTAATCTATTACACTTGAGTTAATCATTGCCTTACTGGTTGGACATTGAATTTTCCAATTTTTTTCAGTTTTAACACAATGCTCCAGAAATGTCCTTTGAATTCCTTCCTTTTTTTTTCTCCCTAAGTTTATTTATTTATTTTGAGACAGAATATGAGCAGGGGAGGGGCACAGAGAGAGAGAGACAGAGAGAATCCCAAGCAGGCTCCGAGCTGTCAGCACAGAGCCCAGCGTGGGTCTCTATCTCATGAACCGTGAAATCATGACCTGAGCTGAAACCAAGATTTGGACGCTTCACCAACTGAGCCGCCCAGGCACCCCTGACTCCTTTCTTTTATTATAATGACTGCTAAACAGAATTTCTGAGCTAAAGGATATCACCAATTTTTTATGACCCTGGATGTGATTACCAAATGGCTTTATCAAAAGGGTCGAGTGGTTATACTCCAACGGGCAGTGAATGAGATCACAGGTGCCCTGACTCTGTGATGACCTGTCCTTCAGAGAGCCGGCTGGAAGGAAGACCAGTGGGCGGCTGCTGAGGATGCCTCCAGAGAGAGGAGGGGGAAGTCAAACCACCAAACACCGCCACTAGACTGGTGATGGATGTGCACTCTGGGTTAGTGATGTTCTTCTGTTCTCTTCCTCCAGGGTCTTCCAGGTTCTTCCAATGATTCTGGAGATGCCCATTTGGAACTGAAAGCCTCTGATACTATAAGGTGGAAGGGATGATGCTCCAAACAAGGACTGACCAGTGATCGCACCAGCTCCTCTTAGAAGCTTCTGAGGCCTATGGGGCCTTTCGTGGGCTGCCTCTCGTCTCCCCCCACTCTTGGCTTCTCAATTTACTCCTTTGGATCTTTCCAGAAACCGTCTTGGGCAGTTCTGAAACAAAGGTCACCTAGTGGCCATAAACAAAAACATTTTGAAATCATCATTTCCCAGAAAGACTTCTGTCTTGAGTCATTACCCTCTGCTGCTTCATTGGAAAACCTCCATGATTCATAGATTGCTCCAAATGGCAAAGACCAAAATGGCTAGGGCCTGGGGCATATGATCTTGCCAGCAGCAATTCAGCACCATCCCCCTAAACCTGGTTTATGCCACTTTTTAGGGTCAGAACAAACTGTAGTTTGGGGTGGGCCCGATGGGGAAATAGGGAGAAAAGGCTGAAGCAGCAGGTAGAGTTATTTGTATCTTCATCCCCCCAGCACCTGACCCTGAGAGAGAATCCACCTAGTGTGTGCTTAGGTGATTTCCCAGCTCATCATGTCCTAGAACCCCCGATGTTTACCTTCCTGGGGTACTTGTATGGAGCAGTCACCCTCTTCACATGCTCCTGGAGCTCCCGAGTTAGTTTCTCTGGATCTTGAGAGGAGTAAGTTGGAGAAAGGACTATAAAAGCCTTCACCACCTGCCAGAAAAAAAAAAATCCAAAAACAAAACCCCCCAAACCAGAAACAATCAGGCCCTGTATAACAACTCTTTTCTCCTTAACCTAGCCTTGTAAATAAGTGCTTACACTTGCCAGCCCAGCACGAAAATCCTGCCAGCAGGATTCAGCCAGCGAAATGGACGACATCATTTTTTTTGCCCTGTTGCCTCCTTTCCAGGAACAACTATTGGAAGCACTGGCTTTTATGGAATGATTCCAGGATCCTACCTGTTTCCCAAACTTCTCTCCTTTCCTGAAATGACACCATTAGCAGTCAATGGGCTTCTCTTCCAATGGAAATACTTTGGAGTAAAGAGCTTCACAAACTCCTTAGGGTCCATACCTTCCAGGTCTTCCTGACTAGAAATATAACTGGCAATGCCCCAGATAGGCAGGATTCGGGAAAATGCAGACCACTCTCCCAAGGGGAGATGGGTCTTTCTGAGCCCGCATATATGAGTGTTTACAATCAGCAAACGTTTTGCTGCACAGCTTCCATGCCAGGCATCCTGAGGGACATTCTGCACCTTGGTAGTTTCTGCCTGAGTCTTTCTTTGCAGGCTGCCTCCTGCCATGGAGGAGGAGTCCTGAATTCAGGCACAACAGAACATGGTTTCTGATAGGAATGGAAGAGTTCAAAGGCCAGTAGGTTGCTTATCCACCCCAGCATATAGCTCAGTCAACAACATCCTGTTAGGTGGTGGTGGTTCACCATCCTTGCATACTTCCCAAAGGCGGGCATCTCACTACCATTCCAAGTTCAAACAAATCTGGTTATTAGGAAGGGCTTTCTCTGGCCGTTAAAACTACCAAACATTTACTGAGTACCTTCTACACGCCAGGCTCTGTTCTGAGTACTATAAGCAGATTAACTGTGCACACAGCCATTTGTCAAAACCCCAGTTAATTTGTGGCATACAAAACTAGCTGTACTTTTCCAGCTGTGATTTCTCCAACACAGACATGGGGTTCCCACCTCCCTTTTTCCAAATTAGTGGCCTCAAAGTTTTTTTTCATGTTAACTGATTTATTTTAAGATGGCAGGGAGGGGCAGAGAGTGATGGAGAGAGAGAATCCCAAACAGACTGCGCTGTCATGAACTGTGAGATCGTGACCTGAGCTGATTCAAGAGTCAAATGCTTAACCAAATGAGCCACCCAGGTGCCCATGGCCTGAAAGTTTAATGGGCACCAGGATCACTTGGATAGGGGCTTCTGGTCAAAATGAAGATGCCTTGGGCTGCATCCCCAATCGCTCTGATTCAGCAAGACTGACTTCAGGTCTAGAAATCTGTAGTAAAAAAAATGTTTTTTAAACGTTTATTTATTTTTGAGAGGGACAGAAAGACAGACCATGAGTGGGGGAGGGGCAGAGAGAGAGAGGGAGACACAGAATCTGAGGCAGTCTCCAAGCTCTGAGCTGTCAGTACAGAGCCTGACGTGGGGCTTGAACTTACTGTGAGATCATGACCTGAGCCAAAGCTGGACAGTTAACTGACTGAGGTACACAGACACCCCTATAAATTTTGTATTTTAAACAAAATGATGCAGCTGTGAGTACTCCAGGGCCCAGATGAGAATCACTCTTGTGGCCCTGGTGCTTCTGAGAACAGAGCCCGATTTTGCACTAACTTTCATAAGGTAACTACACTGTAAGTAGGATTATGTTGCATTTACAGCCAGTGAAAAACACATAGGTCTGCCTATGGGCTTAATCCTCTCATTCTATCTATTCTTCTGGGACCCATGGGAAGAAATTTTCATTTCTCCTAAGAAAGGTCAGCTTATTAAACTTGGCCCATCCTTCCGCTATATCAAGGTCACTTTGGATACTTATTGTGTCTTCCCTCAAGTTGGATATTCCTCAGCAGTCATGTCTGGCATGCTTGCTATATCCTCACCTGCAAACGGGAAAGTACTCTTTATTGGCCAGGATGGACGACAGAGCCTGCGTTCACCAAGATTTCCTGCCCAACAGTCCACCTCTTTTGGACCCAGTTCTATGTTCACTTGACACCAAAGCGTTGGTATCTTCTCATCATGTCCCTCTAGACAGTCTGTCTCTAAATACATGAGGGTAATGCTTAACCAACCAAAAGGAATGTGTGCCTGATGGTGACATTCAGACTTTGTAATATCTGGAGTCAGGGGAAGATATGGGGGAGTTTCCATCTTACTCTGCTGGGTGCTAACAGGTACACAACCAGAAGGAAATATTCTTGGATGGACTAGTTACCTCCCCTCTGATGGGGTCTGGACTGCTGACCACAGCAGCCTCCAGGACAGCTGGGTGCTCGGCAAGGGCACTTTCCACTTCAACAGGCCCAATCCGGTAGCTGGAAGAGAAAAGCAAATTCTTCTAAGTAACCTACCCGCCCCCACCAAGCTTCAAAAAGAGAAGGAAAGAGCAGACAGCTTGACCTTGAGGAATTGATCACATCGTCATTTCGTCCCATGAACCAAAAGTAGCCATCCTTGTCCTTGTGGGCTCGGTCCCCTGTGATGTAAAAGTCCCCTCGTTCTGATGCCTCTGTCTTCTCAGGATTGTCCTGGAAGACAAAAGAAGTCCATGAAGGGCCATCTCAGCACAGCCACTAAAGCCAGCTATGGCCCTAGCAGCCCCATGCAGGAGACCAGGGACCCCTAACAGGAAGTCCACAAGTTCCCAAAGACCAAGCTGGCCAGAACTTCACACTGGACAAGGAGCTATGAAATGTGTGCATTTTCTCTCTTTTAGATGGAAGGAAGTGTCAGGAAATGATTAAGGACAGCCCCTCGCTACCATTTTTAGAAGGGTCCAAGGAAACATAGTTGGAACACAGGAAGGTGGCCACAGGGCCACTGGCTCTGGGTTTTGTTTGTTTTGTTTTTGTTTTTTTGCATAAAAGAACACACTCTTTGTGCTCAGAAATCACTAAAGGTAGAAAGTGAGGGCTTGGCCACAAAGCAGGGGTAGAGCAAAGATGAAAAACTAAAAATCAAACTCTGATTCTTAAAGATTTAAAGAAGCTACTACCCAACAAGAAAAATAAACAAATTAATTACTGTTGTATGCAACTATCTGGATGCATGTCAAAAACATTATGCTGAGTGACAGAAACCAGACACACAAAAATGAGTACTCTGTGATTCCATTTATATAAGGTTCTTTAAAAAAAAAAAAAAAAAAAAGGCGAGGCACCTGGGTGGCTCAGTCAGTTAAGTGTCTGACTTCTGCTCAGGTCATGATCTCATGATTCGTGGGTTCTGGCCCCGCATTGGGCTCTGTGCTGACAGCTCAGGGCCTGGAGCCTGCTTCTGATTCTGTGTCTCCCTTTCTCTCTGCCCCTCACCTGGTCTCACTCTGTCTCTCTCAAAAATAAATAAACATTAACAAAGAAAATTTAAAAAAAAATAGGCAAAATTTTTCTATAGCAACAACAAATAATTTAGCAATTGCCTATGGCTTGGGGATTGACTGCAAAGGGGCACAAGGGAACTTTCGGGGGAATAAAAATGTTCTATATCTTGATTCTGGTGGTAGTTACCTAAGTGCATACATTTGTCAAAAGTCATTGACCTGTACACGTAACATAGGTTACATACATTTTATTGTACGTAAATTATGCCTCAACTTAAAAACTGCATTCTGAGAAAAAAGAAAAAAGCTAAGCTGTCAATACCTAAAAATAAATTTCATACAAAACCTGAAAGAAGTATACAGAGAAAAAACTCTTTAGAACATTTAAGAAGATACATTTAAATGGAAAGCTAGAAAGACTGAATTTCATAAATATGTTAATTCTCTCCCAAACTGATCTAGAGATGTAGTGACACTCATTAGAATACTAACAAACATTTTCCATGGAATTTGACAAGTTGATTCTACAATGTATATGAGAGAATAGAGAGCTAAGAGTAGGTAAAACATGTGTAAAGAAGCTGAGGAAGAAAGATCTTTACTCTACTAAATATTAAAATTTGGGGGAATGTTTTCCTGGATAAGGCTCTATGGTATCAGCACTGGAATAAAACACACGGCCAATTAAATAGAAGAATCTGCCAAAACTTAGCTATCTATGGATATATCAAACGTCTATTTCTGACCAAGCTGACATGACAGATCACTTTTCTTTGAGATTTAATTTTTTTCCTTAGTTGAAAAGGACTCAAGAAGAAAACTAACAGTTGGTGCTGCAAAGAAAAAGTTGAAACAAGTAAAGATTCTTGTGCAGCAAGTAACTTTACAAATTACTTGACTCCCTCAATGGGCTGATCACAGACCCAGAAAGGTCCTGTATGTGAGCGCTGTGAGGACCAGGGTCATGTCTTCCCTGCCACTGCTGGATACTTAGCGGCATGAAGTAGCCACTCAATAAATAATGAATGTATAAATTATTCAGAAAAGTCAAGGATTTGCTATTGCTTACAAAAATGATTAGAAGGAAATACATTAAAAATTTTATTTTTTTTAACTTTATTTTTTTTATTTATTTTTTTTATTTTTGAGACAGAGAGAGACAGAGCATGAACGGGGGAGGGGCAGAGAGAGAGGGAGACACAGAATCAGAAGCAGGCTCCAGGCTCTGAGCCATCAGCCCAGAGCCCGACGCGGGGCTCAAACTCACGGACTGCAAGATCGTGACCTGAGCCGAAGTCGGGCGCTTAACCGACTGAGCCACCCAGGCGCCCCCAAAATTTTAAATTATCTCTGATTGGTGTATTACTGTTTTATTGTTGGGAGGCTTTTTTGTTTTTTTTTTTTTTTTTTTTTTTTGGTTTATTCTGGTAGGTAAGCTTCTGTGACTTTAAATGAAATACCATGCCATGAAAGACTATTTCTCTTGTAGTCACAGAAGCCACTAAAACACATATACAGCACTCTAAAAACAAATGGACTGATTTTTGTGTGTTCCTCCCGGTGTAGCGGACTGGCAGCTTCGCATACAGCCAGATAGAGTTCCTACTAAAGCCGTGGTTCTTAACCTTGGCTGCACATCTGAATCACCAGGGGAGCTGATCCACATCCTCAGAAAGGTTGATCTCATTCAGTGGGGCTTGAGTATCAGTAGTGTTTTGAAGCTTCCAAGGTGTTTCTAATGTGCAACCAGGGTTGAGAACCATGTCAATAGAGCTTTATAGAGGAGTCTCACAAAAAGAAAGCCCATCATAAACACCAACAAAAGTGGGCACAAGAGAGAGGTAATTACTGGGTTATCACAGAAACTTAGACTAGAATTCTTGGGCACAAGCCCTGCCAGTAAACCCCTCTTGCACACAAGACTCGAGACAAAAAGAATTCTGAAAATTAGGCTCTGACACAAATTGCAGTTTGACTTTTGTGAAGTCCCTTCCTTTCTCTGAACTGCAATTTTTCATCATTGAAATGATGGGGTCTCCCCTGTGTTTTAAATTTACACTCTCAGACATACCCATGCTCACATCCATGTCCTGTACATACTAGGTGCTTGACATTGGATAAGTCACTTTATCTTCCCAACTTCTTTATCAATAATAATACCAACTTACCTCATGCAGTTATCGCAAGGGTTAAACAAACAGGTGTTTATAAATCTTGGAACACAATGCTTGGCACACAGAAATCATTGTGAAAATGGCCATCCCCTGCCACTTACCAAATAGCAACTGAAGAAACAGAAGGGCCGGACAGGCCTGACTCGGACAGCAACATTTCCCTCTTCTCCCGGAGACAGGATGTTGCCCTCATCATCCACAATCTGGCAGAGAGATCATAGGGCAGTGTCTGGATATCTGCACAGCCAGGCCACCCCCCAGCTAAGCCTGCTGTCGCTAACCCAGAACATGCATTGTGTTCTCTTTGAACCAAGCTTCAGCAGCAGTTAGGGGAGGCTGCCTACCTGCACATCATAAGGTGGGGACGCTTTCCCCATGGATCCAGATTTGATTTTCATGCCTTTTGAATTGGCACAGATTACAACCTGGAGAGAAAGTAGTACCAATAAGGAGGAAGCTTATCCCCTTCGCTTCCTTCCTGGTGCCCATCTTTTCTCCCACTTTGCCTTCTAACTCTCCTCCCCTCCCTCCTCTCCTCCCCCCTCTTCCTTTCTGTCTCTTCCTCATCCCTTCCTTCCTTCTCTTCTTTCCATAGTCACCACACATTTACTGAACGCCTACTGGGCACTCACACGTAAAGAATCAAATGTGTCACTAAGCTGAAAGACTCAGTTGACCACCAAATCTCTGCTGCCCAGATGGCTGTGGGGAATAGTGTCTAAGATCGTGAGTGCTGACCGGAGACAAAGGTAGGCTGTCCTAGTGGACACAAACAGCACCCTTGGCCATGAGAGTTGGTTTGCTGGCTGTGGTGTCATTGTGAAATCACTTCAAATTATCTTTAAACCAAAAGGGAAGAAAAGCTGATGGGATTTTGTTATCAGCTTCTCCCAGTGGGCAGGGCAGTCCCTGACAGGTGTCTGGAAGGCAGGAGGCTCGGTGGGTTGGCCATCTCCCCCTACTGGCCAAGAGCCCAGGTGGAGGTGACCTGTGGCAGGGACCCAGGCCCCAGCAGCACTCACTGTTTCAGACTGGCCATAGCCTTCATGCAGCTCCAGGCCCACTTGGCTCTTCCATTTCTCTCTCACGTCAGGATTCAGGGCCTCTCCTCCGGTCAGACAGTGCCTCAGGCTCTGAAACTGGTACCTTTCTCAGTTGGAAAATAAGGCCACCTATGTCAGGAGTTTCCCATCCCCCACCTCACTCTCCAGTACTGCTGCTCAGGTTTAGACATCTAAAAACGCACTGGAGGGTAAAAGGCAGGCTTTATAATCTGTTCTAACTACCCTATCCTCTGGCTTTGCAGGCATGTTCCTCAGGGGCAGGTAATTTTTTAAAAACCAATCCTGATTCTGAAAAATCAGAACGTCATATAGTAGGTTTTGGCATAACAGTCAATTGGCCAAAATAACTTCCTTGAAAACAAACAGACAGTAAATTGCTTAGGACAGCCACCTGGTTATAAATCGATTACAAATTTAAACAGTAGAAAGTAGCCCTCTAGGAATATGAAAATTGTCAAGAATGGGCCAAAATTCCTACAGATATTAAATACATTGCAAATCTACCCTTCCATTTAACAAATTATGCAAAATGTGAACAACTGGTGGTTGCAAATACATTTTCAACCATTTTTCCCCCTTTGGATAAACTCGGTTTGCGTATTAATTAGTATTACCTAGTATCTTTCAACCAAATTGCTCTTGAAAAAAATCATTCAGAGTCTGCTTTCTGTTAAAACCATGATATAGAGGTATACACAACGGGTCAGTGAATGGGATGAATTCTTACATTAGGAAAGAATTCCCCAGGAGAGACATGCAAGAGCTCCCTTGGTGCTTCAGGGCAGATACATGGGATGAGGGAAGATGTGGGGAGGGTGGGGACAACTCCCCACGACTTGGGAAAGAATAGAAGAGGCAGACATAGATCAGAGTCAATAAGGACAACAGATGTTTCTCCACATACCCCAGCAACTAGACTTGTCCTGCTAGCAGATGTCGCTTTGGATTCACCCAGGATGGGAGCCATAGGCACACAGTGTCTTGTTGCCTTCCGTGGGATACCCAAGGCATTCACTCAGAGGGTGGCTGAATGGGCTTAATCTGGGGCTGAGGCATGGAACATCAATTGTGGTGGGCTTACCAGTCCTTGGCCTTGGCCACAAATCCCATTCCATAGGTGGCTAACAGGTATCCAATAATTCCTCCAACCTCACAGAAGTGGCAGACATATTGATGAGGGAATGGCCTATGGGTATATGATGGAGAGACAGCCCACCTCAAGTGCTAAAATTCCAGACTATCTTAAATCTATCCAATTCCATCTGGATGCAAATTCCTGGGTGGGGGGAGGGGCAAGAATTTCATTTATGTGGGGCATCTGCAAAGGATATAGATGCCTATGTGCTTGAGTATGTGTGCATGAGAGAAACACAGATATATATAATATTCTAGATATATATTCTCTATATAGAGAATCACAGATGTATGTGTGTATATTATATATACATATATATGTATACACATATATATACATATGTATACACACATATATATATACATATACACAGAGAGAGAGAAAGAGAGGGAGAGAGATAGGAGAGGGACAGAGATGAGACAGAGACAGAGAGACAGAAACACAGACAGAGGTGGTATGACAGCATAGGTGTGCATGTGTACATATACTGTATGTATATGTACTGTACATTCACATACTTAGGTCCCCAAAGCATCTAACAGTTGGGCTGTACCTGGTCAGATCCTCCTGTACAAGCAACCGGAAGATGGTGGGGACACAGCAGAGGGTGGTAATCGGGAAACTGGAGAGAGTCTAAACAAAAACAATTAGAGGTATTGGGGTGGGCCTTTGTGCAGATGGAGCAGGTGAACTGGTTCTTCATACTCTCATTACCAGAGCAGAGAAGTTGAAAACTACACGAGGCATCCAGCCTCCACGAGGCATCCAGCCTCCAAGGTGGCTCCAGATGACTTCACTTCCTGGTATTTTACCAAAACCAAGTTTGGTCTGTGTGACCAAGAGCATTCGGCACAGGTGATAGATGCCACTTTCGAGATTAGATTGTACAAATACTACAGCTTCTGTCTGGGGTACCATCCCTCTCTCCCCCTATCTTAAGTCACTTGCTCTGGGGAAAACAGGCCACCATGTCATGAGTATACTCGAGTGTATAGAGTCAGAAACTGAAACCTTTGCCAATAGCCAGTAAGAAACTGAAGTCCTCTAAAAACCATGAGTGGGTTTTTAAAGAGATTCTCTAGTCCCAGTCAAGCCTTAAGGTAATTGCAGTCCTGGCAGACGTCTTTCTTTTATTATGGTAAAATACACATCACATAAAATTTATCATTTTAACCATTTTTAAATATACAGTCTAATGGCATTAAATACATTCACATTGTTGTACAACCATCACCACCATCCATCTCCAGAACTTTAAAAATCTTCCCAAACTGAAACTCTATACCCATTATAAAATATTGCCCCATTTCTCCTTTCCTCCAGCTCCTGACCATTTCACTTTCTGTCTCCATGATTTTAACTACTCTAGATACATCATATAAGTGAACCATACAGTATTTGTCCTTTTGTGGCTGGCTTATTATTTCACTTAACATAATGTCTTCAAGATTCATCCATGATATAGCACGGGTTAGTCCTTTTTTTTTTAACATTTATTTATTTTTGAGAGACAGCATGAGCAGGGGAGGAGCAGAGAGATAGGGAGACACAGCACAGGGCCTAATGCAGGGCTCCAACTCAGGAACCATGAGATCATGACCTGAGCCGAAGTTGGAAGCTCAACTGATGGAGTTACCCAGGTGCCCTAAGTGTCATTCCTTCTTTTTAAAGACTGAATAATATTACACTGTATGCGTGTATCACATCTTGTTTATTCATTTATCTGCCAATGGGACTTGGTTGCTTCTACCTTTGGGCTATTAGGAATAATGCTGCTATGAACATGGATATACCTAGCTGACAGCTTGACTGCTACCTCATGAGAGGCCCTGATTGAGAACCACCTGTTAGACTGCTCCCAGACTCCTGACCACCAGAAACTGTGAGATACTAAATGTTGGTTTTAAGCTGCTAAGTTTCGGGGTAACTTACTACAATAGATAACTAATATACTAGGTAGGGGCTAGAGGCAGTAGAGGGACAAGGTACACACTGGCTGATCAAGCCCTAAGTGAAAAATGATGATGGTGAGCTTGGTAATGGCAATAATAGTCAATATGTGTTAGCAGACCACTCTGTGCCAGGCCCCATGCCTAGGATTGTTTCATTCTCCATAGGACTGTATTATCCCTTTCTTTCTTAAAGATGAAGAAACTGAGGTTCAATTTTCTCATCTCAAGGAAAGAAGTTAGGTACCTTTCCCAAGGACACACAGCTAGCAAATGGAAGATGTAGGATCAGAGGTCAGGTCTGAAAGATGGCATGGTCTATGCTATTAGCCACCAGGTGACACAGCTTACCTCAATGCAAAGAGCACGCACCCGCAGACGGCCCCTCAGATGTTTTAAGGAATGGTGGTTAGGATGTAGAGGGCAGAAGGAAGGTGCCTTATGTCAATAATTATGGGGTCAATAATTATGACAAAACCCGGGGAAAATGGGCAGGAGTCATCAGGATACTCCGGCTGGGTGAAATATTCACACTAGGCACCATGGAATTGAGGAGTAGAGTATGGCTTTCCCCAAGGTTTGGAAAAGTAACTAGGGTTTTGACAGGAGCACAGGAAGAAATTGGTGGAGGGAGAGGCACCCAATGCAGAAAACATACAATATGAAAATGTTCAGAGATATTAAATGGTCTCGTCCAGGAATCTAGTTATAGGACAGGCAATAACTGAAGGTAGCCAGGTGGGCAGGAGTCAGATATGGATGGTCCTGGGAGCCATTTTGTTTAATATCAGCACCAAAGAGGCCTTGTGGTCACTTATGCCTTTTCTCCTGCAAATTCAAAACCTGTATTCCTTTTTTTAAAAAGCTTTATTTCTTTAAGTAATCTCAACCCCCAAAGTGGTGCTTGAACTCACAACCCTGAGATCAAGAGCTGCATGCTCTACTGACTCAGCCAGCCAGCCATCCCCAATGCCTATACTCCACTCATTTCATTTACACCCAACACATAAGCCATATTCTTGTTTCTTACATTCAGAATAACCTTGGCATCAACTCGGGGCAGTTCATGCACAAAAATGCAAGATCCATTAGGCCAGGCAGAGAAGAGGGTCCAGGCTGCCTTCACCCAGCCCGTGTCTGAGGTGTTCCAGAAGATGTCTGATTTGGTCAAGTCCACCCAATGCCTGCCAAAAATTAGAGAAAGTCAGAACCTCTAGCAGCGCTTCTTCTTTTAAAAAGGATTACAGTATCAATGTTACCTTATTTGGAGCCTTGACCAAGGTTCACTTATAACTCACTTGTAGTTATCAAATTGGTACAAGAACCCTAGAGCCACTCTTTCTCTCAACAAGCATTTATGGAGCATATTCTGTGTATTTATGCCATAGGCGAAGGATACAGAATTAAACAGATAGATCCCATGCTTTCAAGAGTTGACAATCTAGTGGGAGTGATCTATAAAGGAACACATAATCTCAGTACAATGTGATGAGGAAACTTCTTGATTCAGCCAAAGTTTATTCAGCACTTATTCTACACTTGGCATTAGAGTGTAGCAAAGAATGATCAGTCTTGCTTTGAGGAGCCTACAGTTTAGTAAGTTTAAACATCTAGGAAGACCCTGAAGAGCAAGCTTTCAAAGAGTTAAACACAGAGCCATTTTACAATTATGCAATTATGCAATTCTGGAGAATGGGCACCCAACCCAGAGACAGGATGGAGATGGATCTGAGAAATGGTTCCCCAGAGGAGGTGAGGGCTGAGTGAGATGTAAATGATGTGCAGGAACTACACAGGGGAGGCAGAGAAGGAAGGATATCCAAGGAAGGGGAGGCAGTGCCTGTGAGCATAGAAAATACACAAGTGGTCATGTTCTGCACTTGGATTCTAGGACACACGGTCTTCCTGGTCCTCAACCTTGGCTGCTCCTTCTTGGTCTCCTTCTCCTAGTTCTCCTTGCTTACCACTTCATTGCAGAAATGCCTCAGGCATTCAGTGCCCAGTCCTCTTCTCTTCCCAGTGTCTTTTACTCTTTGCTGATCTCATCCAATTTCATGGCATTAAGTACCACCTTGCTGACAATTCCATCATGAATATTTCCCACTAACTCTACACATGTATCTCCAAATACCTCCCAATATCTCCTTTCTTAACTCAGGGTATGGAGATGTCTACTAAGCATCTCAAACTTAGGACGCTGAAAATGAACTCCTCGTGTTCCTCCCACCAAACCGCTCAACATAGTCTTCCCACTGCCAGTTAACGCTTCTAATTGTTCAGGCCATAAAACGAGGCATCACCCCTGACTCTTCTCGCTGTCTCTCACTTCACATCAAACCTGTCAGCAAATCTTATTAGGCCTATGTTCAAACTACATTCAGAATCTTGCCTCCTCTCACTTCCCCTGCGGAAGCCTCCCTCCACCTTTGCCTCTTAATGCACTGGCTTCTGAAGTGGGCCTCTGCTTCATCCTTTGCCCCCTACAGGTTATTCTCAACCCAAACTCCTGACAGATCCTTTAAAAAAGCAAATCAGGTCACATCACTCCTCTGCTCAAAATACTCCAATGTTCCTCAGAAAATTAAACATAGAATCACTGTATGATCCAGCAATTCCACTTCTGGATATATACACCCAAAAGAATTTGGGTTTGAATAGATGTTTATATACCCATGTTAATAGCACTAGTGATAACAGCCAAAAAGTGGAAGCAACCCAAGTGTCCATCCTTGGGTGACTGGATAAACAACACTGATAAGTTACATACGTTGCAATATTCATTAATGAGCCTTAAAAAGAAAGGAAATTCTGACACATGCTACAACATGGATGAAACCTGAGGACATTTTGCTAAGTGAAATGAGTTAGACAAGAAGGGAAAAATACTGTATGATTCCACTTATAGGTGATTCTCAGAGTAGTCAAATTCATAGAGACAGAAAGTAGAATGGTGGGTGTCAGGGTTGAGGAGGGAGGAAATGGGGAATTAATGTGTAAATGGGCATAGAGTTTCAGATTTACAAAATGGAAAAGTTCCAGAGATGGATGGTGGGGATGATTGTATAACAATGTGACCGTCCTTAATAACACTAATTCTACACTTAAAAAGGTTAAGATGGTAAATTTTATGTTATATATCTCTTACCACAATTAAAAACAAAAACAAAAAATCTCCAATGGCTTCTCGCCTTGCTCAAAGTAAAGCCCAGGCAAGGCCTTCTGATTCTACCTGAGTTCACACTTTGTTAGCTCTCTGACTTCATTCTTCTGTTTTTTTTTAAGTTTATATATTTTGAGAGAGAGAGAGAGAGAGAGAGAGAGAAAGAGAGAATGAGCAGAGGAGAGGCAGAGAGAGAGAGAATCCCAAGCAGGTTCTACACTGTCAGTTCAGAGCCCAATGCAGGACTCGATCTCACAAACTGTGGAGATCATGACCTGACCCGAAACCAAGAGTCAGACGCTCAAATGACTGAACCACCCATATGCCCCATGTTAGTTCTCTGACCTCACTCTTGCCACTATGCCTCTTACATTTCTCTGGCTCATTCCCTACTTTCTGTTACTTGATCTGCCAGATGAGCTGTCCCCTGGTACCTTCCACTGGCCACAAAACCCAGTCCATAGCTGGCCTGGGAGTGCTCAACCATCTTGGGGGCCCCAGTAGTGCCACTTGTGAAGTAGATGGCCAGTGGGTCTTGACTCTTGGTCCTCACACAGTTGTGCTCTGTGGATGCCTCGCTGTAAAATATAAAAATCCTAGGTGGTATTACAAGTAGTAAACATAGTCATAATAACAATAATATTTACAACAACAATACTGGCTACCATCTTATTAAATACTACCTATGAGGCACTGTGCTGGAAGCTCCAGTTGGCATTGTCTCTGAGCCCTACAATCACCTCATGGGGTAGGTACTATCATTATAACCCTTTGCAAATAAGGAAATTGAGGCTCAAAACTGGTGAAGCAACTCACTCAAAAGAGCCTGTGCTCCTCCACCTGGGCATGAGGACTCTCTGGTGGATAAGCACGTTTCTGTGTCTATGCCTCTGCACATTTAAGGCACAGCTTTGCCCTCACCCCAATTCCAGGTAATTTAGGGCTGAAGGATTCCCTAAATTTGTGGGTTTGAGATCTGGGTAACTCCTAAAGTTCTGTGATCTGGCAAATCTTCTCACCCACTGGCTCTCAATCCTGGCTGGACCACAGGGGCATCTGGTGAGTTTTTAAAAGAAATCCCATTGCCCAGGCTCCACCCTAGAGAAAAACAGAAGCTTTGATGGTGCGCCTGGGGCACTAGGATTTTTTTGTTTGTTTGTTTGTTTTTGTTTTTTTAAAAGCTCCTCGGGTAATTCTAATGACAGCCAAAATTGAGAATTTCTGGTCTAGGCCAACCCGGCAGCTCATCAATGTCATCTGGGCAGATCTCTTACAATACAGATTCCCAGGGCCTTTGCTCAGGTACATCTGGTTAAGTAAGTCAGATGTGGGAATCTGAATTTAAAACAGTACCCAAAGATAAATGGCCAAATAAATAAGTAAAACAAAATAAACAGAATTTTCCATAATTTTTAGTAGAAAGTTTGCATTCTAATATAGGCAAGAACAATCTAAAGATTATTTACCATGTCCTCAAACTTCTAAATATATCTTTTTTTTTTTAATATTTTTTTTCAACGTTTATTTATTTTTGGGACAGAGAGAGACAGAGCATGAACGGGGGAGGGGCAGAGAGAGAGGGAAACACAGAATCGGAAACAGGCTCCAGGCTCTGAGCCATCAGCCCAGAGCCTGACGCAGGGCTCGAACTTACGGAGCGCGAGATCGTGACCTGGCTGAAGTCGGACGCTTAACCGACTGCGCCACCCAGGCGCCCCTAAATATATCTTTTTTACTTTACTACCTACACGTGCTGAGTATTTTCTGTTCAAGTTTCTGCTGATAATCATTGCAATGAAATATAACATCATAATATATTATAAAAAGTGTCACATATTGGAAATATAATATTTTTGAAAATACAAGATAAATTACTTGCAATGCATGCTTGTGGGTCTTATAATCCTAAAAATCTGTAACACATTTAAGTGAATGTGGCATATAGTTCTTTTTCAAATAAAGCTACTGATAAGAGACAAATGTTGATATTAGTAAGAAAAGTAAAATAAAGTGAAACAACACCCAGGTGAATGGGTGGTAGTTGGTCTGTGGAATGTGCATGTGTGACTTCATGGTACAGGCCTCTGACAGGGCCCCTTTTTTTTTCTGCCTCTGATCAGGACAAAATCTCAAATGCCAAGGTAGGCTTCCACCAGGGCGTTGCTCAAAGGCAGATGGCTTTTGGTTCTGTCCCAACCATCATGTAACTACTTGTTAGCATCTTGCATAAGTCACTTTACTTTTCCAGTGTCAGTTTCCTTACCTGTAAAATTGGGTTAAAGGGTACTTCATAGGGCTTTTTCCCAAGTATTAAATAAGAGCACCAAACACAATGCTTACACAAAATAGATGTTCATTACATCTTTGGTGCATGAATGTATGTAGGTAAATGCTTACTGAGCACAATGCCTAGCATACACTAAGCACTCAATGCATGGCAGCTATTATTATATTACTAATTGACCACCCACTATGTCCTAAGTGCATCATATGGGTTATCTAGTTTACTCTGGCTACCAGTTCTGTAACCACTAGCACCATGACAGAAGCAAAAGACACCCAGAAAAGCTAATGACAATTCTAGTACTGAAAAGTGAGTGACTTTGAAGGATCTTAAGGCGGTCACTGGGATTAGGTCTCAGGTCCACGTGATCTCCACAGTTGAGTGCTCCTTTCTGGTTCACTCTCTTCGTGTACAATCAGCAATACACTCCATCCCCTATTACTTAAAGGGGGAAAACCTTGGCCTCATCTTTATGCTGTTCTCTGCAAAACCCCAACTTACCGGAGGAGTTCCCTGAAGTTCATCCAGCCTGGCCGACTGCTGTCTGACACCAGTAGCTTGGTCTGAAGGGAGGGGCAGTCAGCACTAATGGCGTCGACCCGCGGAGCCAGGGAGTCACTGGTTATAATGGACTTGGCCCTGGATGCCTGCAGCCTGTATTTGAGGTCCTTCTCCGTCAGCTGAGAGACACCCGGAATCATGACAGCTCCTGGCACCACACAGAGAGGGGATGTTGACTGGGCAGCAGGGGAAGAGCCCTGTGAAGAAGTCCAGACCCTAATAGTCCCATCAGAGAAAGGAACAGGAAGGGACTGGACAGGGTTGGAATGCCTGAACTGGAAAAGGTAACAATAATGACAATAATGGAATCCAGAATATGTTTATGGAGCACTTACATGTGCTAAGAATTTACATGCATTATTTCATTTAATTCTCACAACCCTGATGAGTAGGTGCTATTTTTATACCCATTTTGCAGATTCAAACAACAACAACAACAAAAACAACAACTAAGACTTAGACCCTTATGCCTTAATTAAATGAAGTAACTTGCCCAAGATCACACAGCTAACATGTGGTAGAACTGGGATTGTGAGTCTAAGAGGTGGTAAACCTAAGGGTCCAAGATCTCAAATACTGTTTTAGAAATGACCTAGCTCCTTGGTTTGCCATGCCTTCACACAAAAGGCTACAATAAATCCTAGTGTTGAGAGTGGATCTCTTGGGGTGGGTGGTGGGAGGGTAGGTACAGTAGGTGGGAGCTTGTATAACATCAACCAAAACCACTTCTGAATGCAGCTGAGTCCATCTCTTCCCAAGGGGAAGGGATGTGGAAGCATAAAACATGGACAAATTTTATCAGACACCTGAAAAGCGACCTGAGTATCTCAGAATGGAGGCTGTAAACACCCACTGAGCCCAGCACTCTCATTTCACAGATGAGAAGAAAGAGATCCTAAAAGAATGGGTCATCCTGCCATGGCCAGTGAGTGAGGACAGTAGACAGAGGAAGGGGCCAATCCCAAATGGTGTTGGAGCCAAACCAAAGTTCTCATTACACTTCGCTTTATCTCCTAAGCTTTTACAGGTTTTAAAACCCAGCATGAACACTTTGGGAGGTGAATGGTATCTCTTTACTTCATCCCTCTGCTTTAGCTATTTCCAGAAGTCTGTCCCACCTGGAGTTGTGTGTGCTGTTTTGGGGGCTCAAGCAGATGGTGGACAGCTAGGGATGTCAGCAAGAGAAATGAGTCTAACACCATAGACTAGAAGACCAGTAATAAGTGCATATCAGGAGAACATGGCAATGTGAGAATATAAGGACATCCAGCTTGGGGATCCTCTAAAATGTTGGAGATGACGCTGGACTTGACATGGTCATGTATGATGTAGTCTTGAACTATTTTATTTGGACATCAAAGAAATGGGTGAATCTGCACAACTGGGGGAACTGGAGACATTTAGATAACAGGAAAAATAATGAAAATAATACCCCAAAAAGAAGTTTTGATCATGCAAAGTGCCCAACACACTGCCTGGCACATAGTAGGTCCTCAAGAAAAGCATAAGGGCTCCTTTACCTAGGTTCTCATTTAAATAAACCTTATATGCCATGGCAGGATATGGAGAACTCCCAAAACCTGTGGGCCTGTTTCTTTTCCTCAAGCTGGATGTACTATAATGGGGCTTATTTTTATATTTTGTGCAAGAGTATATAAAAATAGAAGTAAAGTTCCTGCCCTTTTTTTTTTTTTGACAATCCATTCACAAAATGGTTGACTAAACTTGTTTGTATAGAAAAGCTAATTCTCTGGTATGAGTTTGTATCCCCCTCTGTTTTGCAAACATTATTCGTAAAAACATCCATATTTCAGACAGTGTTCTATGGACAGGGTTGGAGGGCGTGGACAACCTTTCAAGTGGTGGAAAGTTCCCAGTGGGTGGAGAAACCAGCTCTCCACCAAAAGTAGTTGTCTTGCTTTTGTAAAGTCAGCATAAAAACTCCAGCCCTTTCAATAAGAGCATCAGAGGGTCAGCAGAGGCCCTCTGGGTTCTATTGATGGTGTCCTTTTTCTGCCTCTGCTCCTGTGCTGGAAGAATCACCCCAAGAAGATCAATGGTCCATTGCCTTGGCCATTCATAACAGCAGGAGGAGGAATCCTCAAGGGCTAATCTTATGGCTTTGATTATTTTGTCCTTCTCTTTCTTCCCTTGGCAGCTGGTAGATGCTGTGGTGGTGAGAGCCATAAAGTCTAAGAGTGAAAGTAATGTAGATTGACTAGGAAGGTCTCTCATGCATACTTGCATTACTCTCCACACGCTCACAGCTCCCAAACCATGACCAGCAAAAAATATGTTTGGTTTGTTCCACTCAGATTTTTTCTAAAGTTTATTTCATTCTCAACAGTTTTTCTTCCCCCATAAAAATCCAGAGTTTTCTATTACAAAGTCAGAAGTGCTGGAAACACTGGCCCTCATTCACACACGGAAACATCTGGCTGGAGTTGAGAAGCAGTTGCCCCCTTTTGATGAGCCATGTGAGCTCCGCTATCCGGCAGTCACTAGTGCTCCCTACTGCCACACACCGACCTGCTTTCCTCAATTACATTACTACCTGGCCCCCGTGCTCAATCAAGTTTGTGACTGTTAGGCAAAGGGGAAGTAAACAAAACTCCACGTAAAGTTCACTTTGCTCCATCTTCCAAACCATGTGGACTCTGCAAAACTCTGGCAGGTGTGTCAGCCCCAAGTGGTAGGCTCAGCCCTGCTCACTGACCTGTCCGTATACATGCCACGCTGACCAGCCACCATTCCGGGAGCCGCGGGAGCACCAGCATCATCCTGTCCCCAGGCTGAAGGCTACACGTGTCCCTCAGCACATTCGCTGCCCTCCTGGACTGCTGCCCCAGCTGCTCAAAGTTCCACTTGACTTCTCCTCCCGCGCCATTGACCCACCAGAATGCAGGGATCGGGGGCCTGTGTCCAGCCTAGATGGCAGTGTAGGCAGAAAAGAAAAGGAAAACATTTGTTGAGGACTTTTGTTTGCTTGTTACTGTTTTATTTGATTTTGTTGCAATAGTGTTTAAATTCAACACAGTGTTCAACAGTGTTCAAACTCAAAACAATATGGAAAGATGCATTGAGAGGCTTCCTCCCATCCTTATGCCCATCTATGTTGCTCCTCACTTCACATGCCTCAATGAGTAACCAGTATTATTAGTTTCTTGCATATCTGTTCAGTGTTTCTTTAGTCAAACATTAAGTATATTCTGTTTTCCATACCACTTTTTTTAATGCAAAAGGCAGCATATGATTCCTACTGTTTTGTGTCCCCTTTTTTTGAGATATAATTCTCATACCATAAACTTCACTATTCTGAAGTGCACAATTCAGTGGTTTTTAGTATATTCCCAAAGTGCTGTGATCATTGCCACTATCTAATTCCAGAACATTTTCATCATCCCAAAAAGAAACACTGTACAGATAAGCAGTCACTTCCTATTCTCCCCTCTCCCCAGCCCTTGGCAACCACTCATCTACTCTGTCTCTATGGATTTGCCTGTTTTGGATATTTCATATGGATGGAATCATAATATGTGCCAGCACCACTAGTTGGAAAGATTATTCTTTCCCCACTGAATTTTCTTGGCACTTGTGTTGAAAATCAACTGGCCATAGATTTATGGGTTTATTTCTGGACTCTCAATTCTATTCCATCCATCCATCCAGATCTATCCCTATACCAGTGTTACACTGTCTTTTTTTTTTTCTCACACAGGAAAAAAAAAATACAGTTATTACTATAACTCTGTAGCAGGTTTGAGTCCTCCAGGGTTGTATTTCTTTTTCAAGGCTGCTGAGGTTATTAAGGGTCCCTTGCGTTTCCACATCAATTTTTGGAGAAGATTTCAGCAAAGAAGTCCCCTGGGATTTTGATATTACATTGAGTATCTATATTAATTAGAGATGTGTTATCATTTTTTTTGAAACATTATACTTTCTGCTTCAAGGGCAATCAAGTTTAAAAAACGTACAATTCAACTTTAAAAAGTCAGACTTCAGGTAATCTGCTAAGTGCATATATAACGTAGAGGGTAACATTTTCTGGCAGTCCTTGTTTCCCTAAAGTTGGAGTTCATCAGATGTGTTTTAAAATTTTCCCAAAATTGTCACGAGGCATACGTTATTTTTACATAATGAAGTAAAATCTCAGGGGAATTCTTACGGAGATTCATCCGAATCTTTAATGAGCGTTTCTTTAAGAAACACTCCCTGATCTATTCCAGCCTTTGGTAAGTCTCCAGAATTTTAAAAAGTAGATTCTGACAATTTTTCCAAGGTTTTTCATTGCTGTTGCTTTTATAGAGGATAAAATTATAGCAAATCCTGATTCCACCATTTTTGCTGATGTAACCCTGTTTGTATTTATCATTGAGAGAAATCTTCTAAGGACAATGCCAGGTTGGAAAAAGAGCTCAGACTTTGTAGACAGGAACAGGCCCTGGCTCCATCTTCTACATATGCTTCCCAGGTGGCAGATGGTATGACTCCCATTTGATACATGAGAAAACTAAAGATGAAAAAATATGGGTGAAAAAAATCCAAAGAGCTTGGTGCATTTATCCAAGGTCACACTTCAAGTGGATGAACCATATCTATCTAACTGCAACCACCTTCATACTTTACTATACCCACGAAAAGTATACTTTTAGTGAATCCACTAATGGTGTTAGTTCCCTCATTGTTTTTCTTTAAACAAGCTCTTCTTAAAGTTAACATAAACAAATTGCTTTGAGATAGTTTATATTCTCCTGCTCTAAATACAAAGTTAGCACCTTTAACATAAATAAAAAGCGAACTATAACATGCAGACAGAGGCACAACAGACACATAAGGAAGGGAAAATAAAGAAGGAAGCATATGAACACAAACACAAAAAGAAATCCAGATAATCAGTTCCTAAAACAGTTTAAATTTTAGGACTTGCAAAACTGCTAGGTCAAAATGTCCACCTATCTTGTAGCTCTGAGTCACAGTGGGGTTCCAGAGGGCAGACTTTGATGCCCAAGCTGGACACTAGGACACAGTGCGCCTCACCTTTTCTAGCTGGCTCCACAGGTCCAGTACATCGTGAGCAAAGTTGAAGTACTCAGGCACTGGCTGCCTCCCCAGGCTGATTGCTTCCCAGGTGGCCACAATGTCCTGAGGGTCAAGTAGAGGTGGTGGTTGTCCATGAGGCCCACAGAATCCCCGCGCACTTCTCAGCACCTTGAGGACTCGTCCTCTTAGCCATGGCATCATGTTATTGCCTCTGGTCTGTCACCAAAGAGAAGAGATAGAGCATCATGCTGAATTCTGGGCTTTGTGGACAGACTGAACTTGAGAAGAAACCTGTGGTCAGCCCTGATGGTGACTACAGTGCACACCGACCTGTAAACAGAGTCTTGGAACTCAGTCTTAGTACCACCGTGTGATTTTGGTCATTTTTTTCTGAGTCTGAGGTCCATCTCTTCCACCTCTCACCGCCTGTGGACCTCTGGGGGTCTGAGGTCAGTAACTCAGAACTCACTTCCCAAGGCTTCCCAAGCCCACTTTCCCAAGATAAACCCTGAACTAGCTGACAAAGACAAGGAAAGCTTTAGAGCAACACTGCACAATAGAAATATATTGTGAGCTACACCTGTAATGTACAATTTTCTAGTAGCTTCATTCAAAAACATAAAAAGAAAGGGGTGAAATGAATTACAATAATATTTTATTTAATCCATGTGAAAGATGAAATAAGATGGGGTCATTATGTCAAGGGGTTTTAAAATGAGTCTGGAGGCCATTCAGGAGGTGGGCCTTAATGTTCACACCTCACCAGTGGAACCATGAACTTTTGAACTGGGCCAAACCACAAATATTCCAAGGACTCAGCCTGAATACCTGTTACAGTAAGAGACTTTGTTTAGCCTTAGCAATCAATTATATTCAGTCAAGATCAGTTTTCTTCCGCCAACATCAATCAAAATTCGTTGTAAGCAATATATAGAAGCATTCCCTTTTGTCTTTAAAAATCCTTGCCTGTTGCTCCCTGGAGTGGGGGTGGGGCACTATTTGGGTTCCAGCCCTAATCTGTGTTCTCTGAATTGTAATTCTGAGACACCAAATAAACTTTTTTTTTTTTTAGCTTTGCTCTTTTTTTTGGTCAACACCAGCTGTATCCTATAATTTCAACATGTAATCCATGTAAAAAGAAATTACTAAAGAGATAATTTACATTTTTGGGGGGTGGAGGTGGAGGATTGTAAATCCTCACAATCCAGTATGTATTTTACACTTACAAACACACCTCACTTTGGACAAGCCACATTTCAAGGGCTCAACAGCTGCAAGTGGCTGTGGCTACCATACTGGACAGGGCAATTTTCAGTGTCTTGCTCCTCAAAGTCGGTCTACGGGACAGCAGCATCAGCACTCCTGGGAGCTTGGGACAACTGCAGAACCATAGACCGCACCCTAGACATGTGGAATTAGACTCTGCACTTAAAGGGAGCCCGAGTGAGGTGTGTGCACTTGGAAGTTTAAGAAGCAGTGGCCTAGAGGCTGCATCCCCAGATGCAGTTTCTTTCCACCAAATTCCTTTTGGTCATTATAATAGTAACAGAATATGGTAATGTAACTGCCAGAGGCTAAAAGTTTGAGCTTCCCACCCCCAGATTCTTTTATTAAGTTCTAACCCCCAATGTGATGGTAGCAGGAGGTGGGGGCCTTTGGGAGGTGACTAGGTCCTGAGATCCCAGAGAGCTGGCTTGCCCCTTCTGCTTGTTGAGGAGAATGCAGACCCACTTTGCCAGACCCGCTTTGTCAGACCTGCCTGGTCTGTGAACCAGGAAGGGGGCTCTCACCACACTTGGAATCTGACTGCTGCACTTTGATCTTGGACTTCCCAGTCCCCAGAACCATGAGAAATAAATGTTGTTTGAACCACAGCTGCCAAACAGACTAAGACAATAACCAACAATAATAATGTATCACAATACCAAGAAGAATGATTATAATTGCCACCTACAGAAGACTTACTGTGTACCAAGCAAGCATTTGGAAGGCGCTTTGTAGATGTTATTTCCTTAAATCCTTACAACTCTAGGATCTAACTGTTCTTTTCTCTGTTTTACAGATAAAGAAAGTGAGGCTTAGAGATGACAGACAAGTGACTTGCAGGTCTCAACTCCCAGAGATGCCCAGGCCCCAGCCTCTGTTGTGGCCGCCAGCCCTGGGGCCTCAGACTCCCCTCCTCTGACCCTCTCCCCCCATTCCTCAGCTCTCCTGAACTCTGTGCCCTAAGCCTTTTCCTCTGCCTCCCACACCTGGATTCCTCCACCCCTTGACAGCTGATAATTACAGTCCCCAGGCCTCCTTTCCCAGGGCACAAGGCCATTTCAGGCAGGCCTCGTCTGATACCTGTCCTTGAAAGATTTCTCTCTATAGTACCTTGCTCTTGAACCCAAGAAATGCAAAAGAGCTTCGGTGTTCTGCTTCAGCTGAATACAGGCTTTAATGCCTATAAACATTCAGGTTCCTCCAGGACTGCTGGAGAAGGCAATCTGCTGACTCAGCCTCCCACAGGGAAGTTTGGCCCCAGATGCAGCCAAGAGAGAGCAGAGCCTGAAGCCAGCAGAGGACAAGGTAACTTCAACTGGCCAGCAAGCTTGAAGCCTGTGAGTGTGGCTCCACCAACAAGTTTTTCTCAGAGCTCGCAGGGCTGGGAGATTAAACCCTAGCTCTGGTGGAACGTCTTCCCTGAAAATTCAGGTCACCACGTCATCTGAAAAGAGAACAGGAACTTTATTATGTTTTAGCAGAAAGAATACAATAGTGACAATAATATAAGTCAAACCATGTTCCTTTTCTGCTCCAAACCCTCCAAAGCACAGAGACAAGAAAGTACATCAGTAGTTGCCTGGGGCTGGGTATGTGAACAGGGAATGACTGCAAATGGACACAAGGGATGTCTTTGAGGTGATAGAAATTTTTTATATCGAAAGGTGATCACGGCTGCACAAATCTGTAAATGACTAAAAATAACAGCAATAGTAACAATGGCATACTTCACTGAATTTTATGGTATGTAAAATTAAATCTAAAAAAAAGAAAAAAAAAAGCTTTTTTTGTTTTGTGTTGTTGTGAAACCTCCTATGTCTCCCTGTCTGGCTCGAAGTCCAAGTCAAAGTCCTGCCAGCAGCTGCAAGGCCCCACATGATTTCCTGGCTCTCCCCTCCGGCCCCCTGCTAGCTCTGTTCCAGCCACACTGGCCTGCCTGCCCTTTGTTCTCCCTGCTGCTGGTTAACTGGATCTCTGAGAACAAGAGCAAAAAACATCTTGTCTCATAGTGTTTGCCAATATCTGTGGTTAAATATTCCCACCATGGCCAATTTCAATCAACCAAAGTTTTAAAAACCGGCTTGCAAAGTTCCTGGTTATTAACTGTCTCTGGCACACCCCTGCAAGCTGGCTCCAGCCCTGCTTCATTCCTTGTACTCGCTGGCTTCTCTGCCACGAATTTCCTTTCACAGGGTTTACTCACTGTCTCACCACTCACACACAGGCCCCTGCTCAGCATGCCTTCTGCCACGGCCCTAACCCCAACTGGAACCTTCTCCCATCTGACACTTCCCACCTTCCTTCTCTGCTTGATTTTCCTTCTTAGTGTTTATCACTTTCTTTTTTAAATGTTTTTTTTAAATTTTTATTTATTTCTGAGAGAGAGCAAGCACGCGTGCAAATGGGGAAGGGGCAGGAGGGAGGCACAGAATCCCAAGCAGACTCCAGGTTCAAAGCTGTTAGCACAGAGCCGGACATGGGGCTCAAACCCGTGAACCATGAGATCATGACCTGAGCTGAAGTTGGCCACTCAATTGACCAAACCACCCAGGTGCCCCAGTGTTTATCACTTTCTAACATTCAATGTATTTTATAAAAAACATTTTTTTTCCAGTTTTAATACGAAATGATTGACAGATAAAATTCTATATATTTAAGGTATATGGCATATTCATTACATAAATGGTTACTACAGTTAAGCTAATTAATACAGCCATCACTTCACCTACCTGCCATTCAATATTTTCTACTCATTCACTTTTGCTGTCTGTCCCGTCCCCCAACCCACACATGCACACTAGAATATCAGCTCCACCAGAACATGGATTTTAGATGTTCAGCCGTTTCCTCAGGACTTATAACAGTGCCCTGCCACACTTTAAGAGTTTAATAAATACTTGTTGAGTCAATGAAGAGTAAATGAGAATTAACATTTAGTGAACATTTTTTGTCTGCCAGTCATTGCTATGTGCAGCAAGTACAAATTGACCTCTGATGTTCTCTGACCTCAGATAACCTTTCTTCCTTAGCACTAGAAGTGGTTCAAAGTCCTTCCGATGGAAAAGGGGCTATGAGTGCCTGCTGGAGAGGATGCTTAGGCGTCAGCTGCCTTGCTTTGCAGTGGTTAGCATCACACTGGGTGTTCATCCTCCACTGTGTTTTGTTCCCTGAGGCTCTGGCTTATTTCCTGGCCAGGCTGCTGTTGCCCCTTCCCATGGAGGCAGCTCCTCTTCCTCCCTGCCAAGCATGGCCATAGCAAATCATCTCTTTGACCTTCAAATTCCACTTCCTCAGTGCCTAGGCCTCTAATGGGTCCCAGGCAACCGCTCTTATCTGCAAATCTGCAGCCAGATCTAAAGATACATTCTCTAGTCTCAGGAAGGTGGATGGTCAGATGACCTGCTTTTCAGAGGACCTGAAGTCAATTTCACTGCTATCCATCAGTATTTGATAAGAATCCAGCCACACAGAACTGGAGGCTACAAACTCTGACAATAATTCTGCTGCCTTTCATTTAGTCATCCAACAAACATCTTTAAGCACCTATTAGCTGCTAGGCAAAGTAAAGTATAAGGAATTTAAAAGGTGATTACTACTGTGATGAAAACTAAAGCCTACAAAGAGACAGAAAGTACCTAAGAGGATTGGGGAGGTTAACGGTTTTAAACAAAGTGATGGGGAAAAGGCCCAGGCTGAGAAAGTGATGTTTGAGCAAAGACTTACAGGAGATAAGACAGTAAACCTGGGTGAAGAGCCGACTATAGAAGAAACTGATATGGGAAACAAAGGCAGAAGGAAATGGCAGATAAAATTGAATTTCCTTATAACCTGCAGCCTGTTGACAAATACTTAAGGCAGGCAGAGTAAAAGTTTCTCAGGGAACTCCCTGCTGTCTTAATGCTAATGCTTTGCTGGAGGGAAAAACAACCTTAGGGTGACAGTAGCTAGGCCTCCAGTATCCTGGGAGTCTTCTTTAGCATATGAACTCCCACGTATATAACCAGTCTATCCACAGGGTCCTGGGCAGCTCTTTCTGCCCAAGGGTTTTGTCCCCTGGCTTTAATACAATCACCTTTTTGCACCAAAGACATCTTCAAGAATTCTTTCCTGGCTGTCAGCTCCAAACCCCATGAACCCCCCACATCACCCCAAAACCTCATCAGAAACCACGAGTGCCCCTGAGGTGGGAGAGTGACTGTCATATTGGAGGAGTGACAAGAAGGCCAGTGTGGCTGCAGCAGGGAGTGGGAGAGAGGCTAGGAGAGGAGACAAGGGCCAGCTTTCCGCCCTCCAGGTCCCTTGCAGCTCACTTTGGCCAGTCAGCTCCGTTAACCCTTCCAACAGCCCTGTGAGTTCTATGCCATTTTACACGTGACAAAACTGAGCCTCAGAAAGGGTGAGCGACATGCCCAAGGCCACCCAGCTATTCAGGGACAGAGCTGCGATTCCAATTCCAATCTTTAGACACTTCTGTGCCACCCTGTACCACTCTAGGCCAGGATGTATTTTGTTTCTGGTGCTCCCTGTGACCTCCAGCCCCACCCCTGTGCTTGGGCAAGCTCCTCTCAGCAAGGGCAGGGCCTTCTTACCCAACAATGGCCATTCTTCTCCAGGGCCACCCTGGTCTCCAGAACCCCAGAATGTGGAACACTGCTGCTCAGGCTGCTGTGGTTCCCGTGTGTCTGGGAAGGGTCTTCATTTCTGCCTCTGGATTTCTTTAGGAAACTCGGCGGCCTCCGGGTCCTACTCTGTCACAAAGGGAAACCAGGAGTCTGTTCTTCAGGCCACGACTTCCCTCCTCAAGTGCCCCGGAGTTTGCTGCCCCAGCTTGGCCCAGTGGGCCTGCGTGTAACCAGACTTCCTACAGGTATGGGCTTGAATGAAATGGCAATTCTGATGGATGGGCCCTGCCCTGGCCACATTCCTTCTGCCAGAATGGTTAAAATTTAAGTGTGGTTTACTGAGAAGATGGCTACACATTAGTATCACCTAAAGAAACTCACCGCACCCCAAACAGACCAATGAAATTACACCTAGTGTATTTGGGTTCAAACATCAGTATTTTCTTGAGGTTCCCCAAGAGATTCTAATGGGCGGCAATGGTTGAGAATCACTGAAATACACTGTGGGGTTTGTGTGAGAATTAAATTAGATAATTTGTTCATTCATTCATTAAAAAACATTCACTGAGTTCCAGATCTGGACAAGGCACTGTTCTAGGAGGTGGGAAAACAGCTGTGAACAAAGGCACTTACAGGAAAAAGTTTAGAAATATAAACTGTGGAGCCCCTGGATGGCTCAGTGGGTTAATCGTCCGACTTCAGCTCAGGTCATCACCTCACAGTTAGTGAGTTCAAGCCCCATGTCGGGCTCTGTGCTGACAGCTCAGAGCCTGGAGTCTGCTTCGGAGTCTGTGTCTCCCTCTCTCTCTCTCTGTCCCTCCCCTGCTCTGTCTCTCAAAAATGAATAAATGTTAAAAAAAATTTTTTTTTAATAAAAAAATAAAGCATGTACACTCAGAAATAATAATACAGGATTTGAAGCAAATGGGGGTGATGTGGCTGAGAATGCTGGAGGCAAAGGTAGTGGGGAGACAGAGTGGCCTGGGAAGACCCCCCCCCTCAGAGGAGCTGGTGTTAGGGACTTGAATGACCAAAAAAGGTTACAGATCAGGAAAAGGGTGTTCCAGGCAGAGGCAAAGGTCCCAAGCAGTGTCT